TGAGTAAGGGCCAGACAATTTTCCTCTGACCCGGCTGCTCTCTCCTCGGTTGAAGATAGCCGCTGTGTCTGCTCTGTTATCCTTCTCTCGGCATCGGTAAGGGCAACTTTTAGCTTCTCAGCTCCAGCCCTCGCCGATTCACCATCCTTGAGCAGTTGCTCTATTTGGGCTGCCTAGGTGATGTCTCTGGCAGCCACGTCCTCCTTGGTGATGGCCAGGGCTTCATTAGTCTTTTTTTTTCTCCTCCTCGGCTCACTGCAAATTCATTCTTGCCCCATGGTAGTGTGCATCGATCACTGAAATCTGTTGGGTGACCTGCGAGAAAAGAGACTTGGTTAAATCACAGTTGTTGAAACATGGGAAAAACAACCATAAGAGTTAAACTTACCACCAAGGAGTTTTGAATGATTGAGCGGAACATCGAGTTTGTCGTCTGCTCCCGATGAGCCTACATGCCGGCCCCGAAGTGACACATCCCGCTCATCGCGTAAGCCATATGAGGATCCTGGGAGATGGAGTCATTAATCCGGATGACCCTGTTCATATGGTCAATAGCTCGGGGGTTCCACTCTGCCGCAACCTCTGTCGGTGGAGGAGGAGGTGGAATTTGATGTTGTTGTTGTTGTTATTGCTGCTATTGTTGCACTTGTGGCTGAGGTAAAGGGCCCCTCCCTTGGCCCTGCCGCCTTGTTGCGGAGGGGAGGGGGCCCTACCTCGGCCCTGACTATCATGTCTTTGTTTGATTCTCCTCTCCTCCTCTATATGAGGGTCCTTGTGGCGTACCTGGCCCTGACCGGTGGGCCTTGGTACNCATGTCTTTGTTTGATTCTCATCTCCTCCTCTATATGAGGGTCCTTGTGGCGTACCTGGCCCTGACCGGTGGGCTTTGGTTCTGGAGGGACAATGTTACTGGCCCCTGAAGGAGGTGGAGGCACATTGGAGGATGATCCCCTGTCCCTCCCGAGAACAAGGGATTGCCTCTGCCTCAAGAAGCTCAAGTCAATTCGTGGGGGGTGACATGACTGCCTCTAGCGCGTCCTCGACGTCCAAGGATTGAAGAATGTTGATGTCGGACCCCGCCACCCTTCCCCGAAGTACCAACCTCGGTGTATGCAAGCACAAAAGACTCCTTGACCTCGGGTTCTTCTACTTCAGCGACGCCCTCAACTTCAGCCTCGGTGGCTCTATCGGGATCTCTCTCTAAGTCCTGCTCAAAGTCTTGCTGCGTTGCCTGGTTGAAGAGCNAAGAATGTTGATGTCGGACCCCGCCACCCTTCCCCGAAGTACCAACCTCGGTGTATGCAAGCACAAAAGACTCCTTGACCTCGGGTTCTTCTACTTCAGCGACACCCTCAACTTCAGCCTCGGTGGCTCTATCGGGATCTCTCTCTAAGTCCTGCTCAAAGTCTTGCTGCGTTGCCTGGTTGAAGAACTCGGACCACCATGAGAGATCGAAGGGTTGAGGGAGCTGAGAAAATTATTTGTATCCTGGTGTGTAACCTAGGAGGATGTGTCCAGCTCGGCCAAAATTGTCGCCGTTGACGTGTCCCCAAACATGGCAAGGTCGGTAAAATTCATCAAGCGCCGGGAAGGAGGAGCAACTTCACGAGTAGAGACATCTGCGCAAATAAGAAAGGATCTCGTTAAAAATTGGCAAGACATTTAAAGAAGATATAAACAAAAAAAGGCGCAAAGAGGCCGACGTACTTGTCGTTCTCCACTGCAGGGGGCACCTCAGACCAACATACTTGGGGCCGGTTCCTCTCTCCCATGCCCCACTAAAGACCAACAGGTCATCCTTGTACCCCTTGTCTGAATCAGGGAGGTGAGTCATTAGATACATGGATGGGTCCCTTGCCTTGAGATAGAAATTTTGCTGGGGTATCACCCTCAACAAGGAGTAGCAGAAGAGAATGTCATCGAGACCAAGATTGACCCCGAGACGCCTATTGAGTTCTAGGACCCCCATTACTATCCTAAAGACATTCAGGCAATATTGGTCGGGGACGAGATCGAACCGGGAGAGGAATTGAAGGAGTAAAGGNCTGGGGTATCACCCTCAACAAGGAGTAGCAGAAGAGAATGTCATCGAGACCAAGATTGATCCCGAGACGCCTGTTGAGTTCTAGGACCCCCATTACTATCCTAAAGACATTCAGGCAACATTGGCCGGGGACGAGATCGAACCGGGAGAGGAATTGAAAGAGTAAAAGGGGCAAAGAGAATCTTATCCCACCCTCTATAATAGCCTTGGTGTAGAAAGACATTGTATTCTCGGTCCCGACATCACGATTATGCCGAGTAGGTTTAAATTCCTCTATGCCAACATTACTAGGTATGCGATAACGGGATCTAAAACTCTCTATCTGTTGATCCCCCTTAATCCTGTATTTCCCTAGNGGGCAAAGAGAATCTTATCCCACCCTCTATAATAGCCTTGGTGTAGAAAGACATTGTATTCTCGGTCCCGACATCACGATTATGCCGAGTAGGTTTAAATTCCTCTATGCCAACATTACTAGGTATGCGATAACGGGATCTAAAACTCTCTATCTGCTGATCCCCCTTAATCTTGTATTTCCCTGGCCTCGAGGGACCAGTACTTTGGATCTCGGTGTTAGGGCGGGCTCTAGGCATATCTACAAAGGAAACAAGGATTTCTCCCCTTAAAAAGTTCCTAAGGAGTTTTTCAAACCACTGGGGAGATTGATGGGGACCAGGAAGACCACCGGTCACCGGAAAAATCAGAAGGAAGAAGGAAAAAGAAGAAAGAGAAAGCAAGGACTCACCAGAGAACTAAGGAAAGGGTCTGGAAGCTTAGAAGGACTTGTTTTGTCGTCAAAAGTTTGGTGGCAATGGTGGCGCAAGTGTTTTTTTTTGCTTTGGTGATAGCTGGAAAGGCGGTGGTGCAGCTGGTTCTTTTTGGAGTTTTTCGGCCAAAACTCTCGTAAGTTTCTTCGCGTAAACTAAAATGTATAAAAGAGAAGGGGGTTTAGTTTATATAGTAACTATCTTCATCATTGCTCACGAAACACTAAAAGGCGCATTTAATGCGCACAATCTCTAAAGCGACGAAAAATGGCTGGAAGTAATGATGAGGTGGTTGGGGCATTTATAAAACCCTTCGCCTTCTGACGACACGTCTCCCCTGCATCAAAAGATGCAGGAGAGTTGATGAGACATTTCTGGAAGGAAACAAATCGACGACACGTATTCTCAACATCATTATATTCCTAACCAGGTATGGCCACGTGTCCTCGGCGTAGCTTATCCCCTTCTGTCGAGATGATAAATGCTCAGAGCCAAGGGACCCTCCCAACGGTGCGAGCGACATATATATTCTCGGCGCGGTGAAAACCCTCTACCCCAAAATAGGCCAATATCCCTCGGCGCCAAGGTGTTCCTTCTACACGCTGGATCCCACCACTCCTCCGCTTCTATAAAATCAAATGATTGACAGATGACTAGCCTAGGCCAGGCTAGGCTAGCCATCATGAAGATGCTTTGCTCCATGGTATTAAGAGGCGCAGGAATGCAGAACTTACAGCCAAGGAGGGGTGGACACGTGGAATGTGATATCAAATCAGTAACAAAAAGACCTCGATACCCCTACTGACACATGTCTAGACCAAATAAGCATTTAATGAATCTTCCTCCTGATGAGACAGCAATTAAGGCACAGGGGGCCGAGAAGTGGAGTGCATTAAAGACTCCCATATCTGGATATTTAATGGATCCTCGCCGAGAAAGGGAAAATTAAATTCTCGGTAGACCGAGGAGTAAGCTTTAAATGCTCGGCATCCCGATCAGTTAAAGCCAAGCCTATTCCCCATAAAGGTAANAATTAAATTCTCGGTAGACCGAGGAGTAAGCTTTAAATGCTTGGCATCCCGATCAGTTAAAGCCAAACCTATTCCCCATAAAGGTGAGGAGCACACTGCCTCATCTCTGACAAATACCTGCTGGGTGGACTATCAACAATCGTGAGCTTTTGAAGGTATAAATAGTTCTCAAAAACGTATTTGCAAAGGTATGCAAGAACTTCTAAAAGGAACTATACAGTGCTTTCTTCTTCTCCTCTCTCAAAAAATTGACTTGATTGTCGGAGGGGATACGCTGGAGAGCACTCCGGTANAATAGTTCTCAAAAACGTATTTGCAAAGGTATGCAAGAACTTCTAAAAGGAACTATGCAGTGCTTTCTTCTTCTCCTCTCTCAAAAAATTGACTTAATTGTCGGAGGGGATACGCTGGAGAGCACTCCGGTACCCTTCTAACTTATTTTTTTGTGTCATAGGATCCTCCCACAGTCTTCCAGGACCGATCAAGCGACCCAACAAACAATTCATCACCGGTCCTTAAGGCCCATTTGTCCCTCTCAACCTACTTCTTGTTGTCAAAATTCACTTTTGGATGAGTCAAATCTAAGCCAGAGGCGATCAAAAATCCTAAAAATAAACCTTTCGTTTCGTCAGAATTACTATNTCTTTCATGAATAGAAAATTTAGGTTTTCCCACCAAGATTGGCTTGTCGGTGGTCTAGTTTACATATACAGGAGAAATGGGTTTCCTCCCAACAGCTTGTTTCTTTCTGGTAGTGCCTAAACCTGGGACCTATGGTTCTATTTCTGGGGGAGAATCTGGTTTTATGAAAGATCTCCATTCTTATCTCTGAATTTAAAGCAGCCATTTATGACAAATTAGCCATTGTTAATAGTGGAAGGTGGGAGTTTTCTTGTGGAAAAGATGATTCAGTTGTTGTTCTTGGTTCTATTTGGTGAGGGCNTGGTCTAGTTTACATATACAGGAGAAATGGGTTTCCTCCCAACAGCTTGTTTCTTTCTGGTAGTGCCTAAACCTGGGACCTATGGTTCTATTTCTGGGGGAGAATCTGGTTTTATGAAAGATCTCCATTCTTATCTCTGAATTTAAAGCAACCATTTATGACAAATTAGCCATTGTTAATTAATAGTGGAAGGTGGGAGTTTTCTTGTGGAAAAGATGATTCAGTTGTTGTTCTTGGTTCTATTTGGTGAGGGCATGGTGGCATTTCTTCTAATGGTGAAGATTGGGCTACTGAGAGAGCTGGTGATGCAGGGTTTGGATCAGGTGAAGGTGAGAAATGGTACTGTTCTAACTATTGCTAGTGTTATGTCTGTGATCCTCTTTTTCAACTTTATTAGCATTGTCAAGATTCAGAACAAGGGTGCTAAGGTTGGTACCATGACTCCAATGGATCAGGTTCTCTGGAGGACACACTTGCTAGAGGCTTCTCTCGTGGGTATGACTCTAATCCTCTTGGGTATATGTGGGGATATGTTGTTTGTTCATTAATTGCTGTGTGGATTTGAAATTTGCCTTCTCAATCTGTTGCTTGTGTGGTTTATTATGTTCTTTCTGTGTAAAACATTATTTCTTTTCATTTAATGCTCGATCATTGTATATTTATATTGCATTGAGAGATACAAAAGATTTCTGGGGAGAGTTTGAATTTTCTGATACATGATTTCACTTCCAGTTAATAGTTTAATCACCTAACATGGGGAAATCATAATACGCATGGAAAATAAAATAAAAACTTTATTGGTAGTAAGATTTTGCATGCACCAAATAAACACATTAGCTGTGGAAAAGCCATTTTTCTTCTTGAATCTGTTTATAATTGCATCTAGGGATGTTAACAGACAAACTGGTAAAATGGCATGTAATTATGCTGGAAAGAGTGACTACTTTAATGTGTTTGATATGAGTTTGAGTTGAAGAATTTGCTGCAAAACGGGAGAAGGCAACATATAATTGTCGAAGTATAGCTCAAGGATGAGAAGAAAGTATATGGTTGATGTATGATATATTAATTATAGCCCCAGAAAGGAAATGAGGAAGCAATCAAATGGCTGGAAACATGCTTTTATTGAGTCACCTTGAATTATGAGGAGGAAAATTAATATTGAACCCACTGATTTGTGGATTTTCCCATCAGAAATATTAGATACTTCTAAATTGCATTAAAAATTAATAGACTTACCTGCAAGCTTGTTTAGCACCTACTTTGCCCACTTGAATTCATAATGTCAACACTGTTGAATTTGTGGACTTTGGGTCAATTATTATTTTGTTTGCATGTTGCTTCATAGGAGGTGGCTACTCAACTTTAAACGAGATTTTGTTTAAAAAAAAAACTTTAAACGAGATTAGTATGATATGGAATGTGAAATTTACGTTGCCTGCTTGGTGTTTGAGATCTGGAAAATAAGTGGGATATGAGGTTGGTCTGTTTTGTTATCTTCATAAGCACACACATGTATTATCAGGGGATCTAGACTCGCATTTACCTGGGAAGCGTTATTATTAAGAGATGTGCTGGTAATGAAGGAATTACTATATAGATCAGTACACACATGGACTAATGTTGCACTCCACAAATCTTGCTTGATATTAGTGTGTAGTTCTACGCCTCAGGACCAATGAATGATAAATCAGCCCAGTTTTGTGTCACTAAATGCATAAAATTGATCTTGCAGGTTTCTCTCTGTTTCTTGGATTTTTAATTGATCGCATGCACCATTATCTTAGAAAATTGGTTGAGTTGAGAACTACTATGGGAACTTCAAGAAAGGAAGTTGAAAGGCTTGAGAAAGAAAAACTGCATCTGAGAGAAAACGAAGGGAAAGCCAACGAGAACATAAAGAAGTTGCAGAAAAATTTTTCTAATTTAGCAGACAATTTAAAGAAGCTTAAGTTGGAGTCCACAGAAAGGGACAAACAGGTTGAAACTGCTGAAGCTCATGTTGCTGCCCTCCAGAAACAAGCCGCCGATCTACTACTAGAATATGACCGTTTGTTAGAAGACAACCAAAACCTTCAGACCCAAGCTCTAGGATATAGAAGCTGAGAAATTTTGGCCGAACTCCTAAAATTCAAGTTTTGGAATTGTTTTTGATCAAAAGCAACGTTAATCATCTCTTGTACTGCTCGGTATGTGTTGGGGTTCAGCCCTTGCTNTGACCGTTTGTTAGAAGACAACCAAAACCTTCAGACCCAAGCTCTAGGATATAGAAGCTGAGAAATTTTGGCCAAACTCCTAAAATTCAAGTTTTGGAATTGTTTTTGTACTGCTCGGTATGTGTTGGGGTTCAGCCCTTGTTATATAGGAGGAAGAAGAGGGGTGGGAGCTACTTCTTTAACCCAGAGTGTTAAGAATTTTGAATTTTTTTCCCCCCGATTGAGAATTGAATCATCTATATTACTTCTTCAGGCAGACTTTACATGTTCATCTTGGTTTTCTCCTACCTGCTTTAGAATCTCAATTGAAGTTAATGAAACACTGATTTTCTACTTTTCAAAGATGTAATATGAGAGAGAGAGAGAGAGAGAGAGAGAGAGAGAGAGGAGCTTATATATTAAAGATCACTTTATTGCATAACAATCAAACAGAGAAGTGACAGCAACCCCAGAGAAGCAACACCCACTGGAACTACAGGCATCACAAACATACATAAACAGCACAAAGCCAAACAGGCTCACTAGGAAAACAAGCAGGAGTGAACATTATTTATGTGTATAAACACCCAGCCCAAGTACCATAAACATGCATAATATGATCATGGATATCCAGCTGCAGCATTTCCATAAACCTTTGGAACATCATCGAGCCCCTCTTTGCCATTAACCCTATCCTTTTGCCCAGCTTCAACTTTGTGCATGCCTCCAAACCAGGGGAAATGATGGAAAAATGGGAAAAAAGGGAACCAGCCGAAGCCAAAAAAGTTCTGAGGGTTGTAGACGTCGTCTTTCATTGGGGCATCCCTTCCTCCCTCAGCCACAGCTAGGAACACCACGATAAGGGCGAGGAGGAAATGTGCCTTGGTAACTCTCTCCATGGTACCTCTCTCTTGTATCTAAGTATGTGTAGTAGATATCTTCTGTGTGCTGAGCAGTGTTTGAGGCCTTTGCTATTTATAATGCAAGTTGAGAAAATGAAAGGGTCTTATGGATTATCTTCCTGGACTGAGATTAGTATGGCAATGCTTCAACGGTTTCATTTCTATGGGAAAATGGCAAAAAATGGTTACAAGTGGATTATCATGTTTAATTCTGGGTGGCCCATCATGTCTTCTATTGGTTAATATTATAGGTTGTATTGATGCTCACTTGTAAGAATTTTTAGTAAATTATTTTGCTGATAGTCCCATGTATACCAAGGTTGGAGAAAGGATTTGCTTCAAAGCATGACTAAGTAGCCATTTTGATGAGATGAAGTAATGGCATTCCACCTCCCATTTCTGGGCTTGGTGTAGAAGGGGAGAATATCGTCCGATCCAAAGGTCGGGTATTAAAAATTCAACTGAGACCCATTAAATATAAAGGATCCGTCATTAATACATGCAACCAATGTATTATCTGAGAAAGTTGAGGAAAAGTGCATTAGAGAATATCTAAATCCCCTCATAAAAGATCAAAAACAGAATTATTCCCTCGTTGAAATTGAAATTGAGATATAGTAGGGACTATTTTCGTAATTATAATAGGAGCTAAGCAGGTGAGGGGTACAATCAAATTGCTAACTGCTAATAAATTCACTAAAGATCTGTATTCCATATATAATCAAATTGCTAACTGCTAAGAAATTCACCAAGGACCTGTATGTATCTACATTTCGTGCACGCCAGGTATATTCGGGGAAACTGCCTCAAAATTATAACATGGCCACTATTTTTGGATGGTGGAAGATAACATTAGTGCCCTAAATTTGAGCATCTCAATTGGCACAGCATCATACATGCCCACCATCTCTTTTGCCAATGAGCAACATTGGTGAGAGTAAGATCTCTTTCAACAATTTCTTGTCGATCAGTTAGTTCTAAACCATATCATAGAGAGTTTACGACAGAATCATCCATCAAACGAATAATGAAGACAATAAACAAGTGTGCCATAGCATAATATGATATGTCTAGAAGTCACCTGAGCATTTGTTGATTCAATCATTCAAAAAGTACAGAGTTCATGAGGAGGAGAAAACCCGAGGATACGAAAAAGCTCGGAACTTCACTCATTATCCTCAGCAACATGTATGCAAATGAACTGCCTCTGCATGTGAAGACAATTCAAGATTAACTAGTAGTTATATTAGTGATAATGCTCGCCAGTTCCCAATCATCTCAGAGAAATCTGTGGGATCAAATGCTGCACGAAGTGAGATCCAGAAAAAACACAATACATGGGACTCTACATGTAGGCTTTCTGTCTTCTTTCTTTCTATTGACTGAGAAAACCCCAGTTATACAGTTCACAAACTATTAATTCCCCTCTGCCGCAAGGAAAAATCTGCACTGTTTTATCACAATTACTTCAAGAAATCCCCGTGATTTGCTTCATACTTTTCATCTTCCTTGCCTTCCACTGCAGGTGCTCAGACATGACAGCTCAAGTTTCTCCAATGCACTATCAACTGCAGATTATCCTAACAGAAGAGGTTTCCAGAAAAAGGAATCAGACGCTCTATTGGATTGGCATGTTTGGATACAAAGGAGAAAATTAACAACAGTATCTGGAGGAACTTCAGCAGATCTGGGCTTGAAGAACCTCCCCCTAATTTTTAGTAATTCATACTCGAGCCAAAGACTTCCAAAATGACCAGCCTTTTTTATAAGGTACAATTAAGGTTTTGATTTTGACAGAAGCACTTTCAATTGGCTGTTGCATTGTTAACCTGTAAGGCATGAACCCATAAATAGTCGAAAAAGCAACAGAGAAAGGTGTTGGTGGAATTTCAATAGAGTGATTAGAAGTCCTTATTTCATGCATCATAATTCTGCTTCTTTACAGTCATGTTATAAGTTGCAGTATGCAATCCATCTGTTTGCCACGATCATGTCACAATAATCATAATATTTCTTCAATCAAAGGTGATAGGACCTTCGACTGAAAATTGGATACATGAACCAAGCAACACGCAATAGGGGAAAGCAAGCTCTTATATCAGAGTTTACCAGTAGTCACCACATGAGCAGACTCCATCCTTAAAGTGATGAAATCGCTTCTTGTCTCTCACCACAATCTCTCTATTCACTGTTTTGGAGATAAACTTAGTTGCTTCATGGCAATCCCTGCAGACTGTTTTTTTTGTGATCAGCAATCTAGTTCCTGGCCCTGTGTTCAAAAGCCCAAAAGCAATAGCTAGTCTGTCACTGTGATTACACAACATTTTTAGTTTGACTTCCCCTTCAAGATTGTGCAACACAAACTCTGTGTTGGCATATAACCCATAGCTTTCAGCTCAAGCTCTAGCTTGTCCAAAATTCCCATAATCTGTTTATATTGAGGACGACTCTTATCTTCCATAAGAAAAACATGGAGTTCCCCATGAATTCTACAGCACTGTAACTATGTACTTTCTTCATCACCTCTGCTACTTCATACCACCTCCTTGCTTCGGCATAAAAGTTCGAAAGTAGGCAATAAATTCCAGGGTTATCTGGCTTCAATTAGTGGCTTACTATCAGGACACCAATGACTGATAATTTTCTGATCTAACCCTTTCAGCCCAATTTTTTGTCCCTAAATGCCTAAAATTGATCTTGCAGGTTTCTCTTTGTTTCTTGGATTTTTAATTGATCATATGCACCATTATCTTAGAAAATAGGTCAAGCTGAGAACTACTGTGGCAGCTTCAATTTAGGAAGTTGAAAGGCTTGAGAAAGAAAGACTGCAGCCTAAAGAAAGGGAAGAGAAAGCCAACGAGAATATAAAGTAGTTGCAGAAAGAATTTTCTAATTTAACAGACAACTTAAAGAAGCTTAAGTTGGAGTTTGCAGAGAAGGACAAACGGGAAACTGCTGAAGCTCATGTTGCTGCACTCCAGAAACAAGCTGCTGATTTATTACTAGAATATGAGCATCTGTTAAAAGACAACCAAAATCTTCAAGACCCAAGCTCTAGGATATAGGAGCTAAGAAATTTTGGCAGAACTGAAATTCAAGTTTTGGAATTAGTTTTGGTCAAAGGTGATGTTAATCAAGTGTCTCTGATACTGCCCATTATGTGTTGTGGCTCAGTCCTTAATATAAGAAGAGGAAGAGGAGTGGCAGATGCTTCTTTAACTCGGTGGTAAGATTTTTGTAATTTTAGTTCTGGATTGAGAATTGTATCATCTATATTGCTTCTTGAGATGGATTTCCATTTCATCTTGGTTTTCTCCCACCAGTTATAGTAACTTAATTCATGTTGTTAATGGAACACTGATTTTCTGTTTTTCAATTTAATGTCAAAACTTTCTCCATGATACTTTGGTGAGGATATAACCCAGTGCTTGTCATCTGAATATTGAATCCAATATTATCTGTTTGTCACATCAGATTATACATGACACAGAGCACCCCCGCCCCCCCTACCCCAAAAAAGAAACCACCTACACACTCGTAACAATTCTCATTGCTTCCCATAACAAATATGAAAGCTCTTCCTCTTGAAGTCTATGTTTAGTTGCTTATGGAAACCGTTTCAGAATTACATTCCTTCAAGAACATCTTAGCAACAATACCTTTGAAGCAATAGTTTCAAAAACTCCACTGTTTTCAAGCTGTGTTTGTACAAGCCTCATTAGTTTTGGATTTTGGGAGATTCTGGTTGTGTCTGGGGAGCTTAAAATTTACAGATGTAATATGAGAGAGAGAGAGAGAGAGAGAGAGAGAGAGAGAGGCACATATTTTAAAGATTTTTTATTGCATAGCAATCACCAGAAGTTACTGCAACCCCAGATGAGGCATAACTCCAATGGAAGTACTAAACAACAAGATAAACATATAAACAGCATAACCCAAACAGCCTCACTAGTAAAACTACTAAAACAAGCAGGAGTAGACATTATTTATGCACATAAATACCCTGCCTAAGTACCATAAACATGGATACCATAAACATGGATCATATGATCATGGGTATCCCTCTGCAGACNAGATAAACATATAAACAGCATAACCCAAACAGCCTCACTAGTAAAACTACTAAAACGAGCAGGAGTAGACATTATTTATGCACATAAATACCCTGCCTAAGTACCATAAACATGGATCATATGATCATGGGTATCCCTCTGCAGACTTCCCATAGACTTTAGGAACACCTCAGACCCCCTCTTTGCGTTTCACCAAATCGTTTTGCCCAGCTTCAGCTTTGTGGATACCTCCAAACCAGGGGAAATGAGGGAAAAAGGGAAAAAATGGGAACCAACCATTTCCAAAAAAGTTCTGAGGATTGTAGACATCGTCTTTCATCGAGACGTCCCTTCCTCCCTCAGCCATGGCAAGGAACACCACGAGAAGAGCGAGGAGGAAACGTGCCTTATTAACTGTTTCCATGATCACCCATCTCTTGTATCTAAGTATGTCCAGTACATCTTTTGTGTGGAGAGTAGTGTTTGAAGCGTTCCCAATTTATACTGCAAGTTGAGAAAATGAGAGGGTCATCTGTTTGTCATTACGGACTGATATAGAAGGGCAAAACCTTAGCAGATTCATTTCCATGGAAAAGATGGTAAAAGAATGGTTCAAGAGGATTATCACATTTAATTCTGGGTGACCCATAATGTCTTATATTGGTTAAAATTAGGTTGTACAGATACTCGCATATAAGAAATTTTGGTAAATTCATTTGCTAATGGTCCCATGAATACTAAGGGTGGAGAAAGGATTTGCTTCAAAGCATGACTAGCTAGCCATTTTGATGAAATGAAGTAATGGCTTACCACATATGAAGCACGGATACGGATACGAGATATGAGTATGATACGATACGGATACGGTGATATGACAAAGTTTTAAAAAGTAGGATACGAGTACGGCCAAAATGCGACTATAATAAAATATATTTAATATTTTTATTATTTTCAGCCAGCTTAATATTTATATATTTTGGTAGTTCTTTAATATATANTTCTGGGTGACCCATAATGTCTTATATTGGTTAAAATTAGGTTGTACAGATACTCGAATATAAGAAATTTTGGTAAATTCATTTGCTGATGGTCCCATGAATACTAAGGGTGGAGAAAGGATTTGCTTCAAAGCATGACTAGGTAGCCATTTTGATGAAATGAAGTAATGGCTTACCACATATGAAGCACAGATACGGATACGAAATATGAGTATGATACGATACGGATACGGTGATATGACAAAGTTTTAAAAAGTAGGATACAAGTACGGCCAAAATGCGACTATAATAAAATATATTTAATATTTTTATTATTTTCAACCAGCTTAATATTTATATAGTTTGGTAGTTCTTTAATATATAATAAGGAAAATTAGTAATTTTTTTTTAGTTTCAAGAAAATATATATCGTATCGCTGTAGTATATTCACAAAGTGAAGTGACTAATTAAAAGAATCAAAACTAATATTTACCTAGTATTTAGAAGTAATTTTTGCTAAGATAATAATGTAATAGTTTTATTTTATACTCTTTTGACATGTAATTGTAGATAATACTTAAGAAACACTCATGTGCCTTTAAAGTAAAATGAATTTTTTATTAATGTATTATATGGTATGTGAATTCGAAAAGAGATGTTAAAAATTTAACTCTCACAAAAATATCCATAAAATATTCTAATATTTAATTATTATCGAATACATAAAAAGTGTATCCGATACATATCATTGAGTATTCGACGAGTATCGTATCCGATACGGTATTGAATATGGATACGTCAACCTCAACGAAATATCTGTGCTTTATAGCTTACCAATGCCCATCGTGGGCTTGACGTGGGAGGGAAGAACCTCTAATGACCTAAAGTCAGGGAATTTTGCACCTTCTATTCGCATCCCTTCCATTATACTTTTCTATATTCTTTCTCATTGGTAGATCACGGATAAAAAATTGAACCGAGTCCCACAACTCATAAGGGGATCTGTCACTAATACACGTAAGTGCTGTGCTACTGAAAAAAACTAAGAGAAAATGTACTAGAAGAAATTAGGACCCCCTCGTAGAATATCAAGAAAAAAAAAAAATAATCCTTCTCATTGAAATGGAAATGGTGATGTTATAAGAAACACCAAAAAGAAAAAAAAATTGGCTAACATTAGAGACAATATTAATATGCCAGCTACAATCAAATTGCTAACTGCTAAAAACTCACCAAAGATCTGTACGGGTGTAGATTTTGTGCATGCCAGGCATAGTCAGGGACCTGCTTCAAAATTCTAACATGGCCATTATTTTTGGCTGGTGTGACATTTTCATCTCTAGGGCCTAAATTGGGTTTTTCCTTATACTAGTAGGTAAAATTACAGCCCTAAAATTTTGGGTCTCTATTTGGTACAAAATCATGGATGTCATGATTTACAGCACCATACATTCCCACCATCTCTTTTGCCAATGAGCAACATTTGTGAGATTAGGATCTCTTTCCAAAATTTCTTGTCAATTATTAGTTATAAACCATATTATAGAAAGAGTGCACAGAATCATCTATCAGACCAAAAATTAAGACAATAAACAAGTGTACCATAGAATAAGAAAATATTTTTAGAAGCCACTTGAGCATTTGTTGATTCATTCAAAAAGTTCATAGAGACCAAATATTAGAGAAAACCTGAAGATAATTCAAGACTTAATAAGTTATTACCTTTTGCAAAGAGAAAACAAGAATTACAGAATTTTCCATTAGAGATCAAAGGGTTTCCTAGCAAGAAAGTGGTAATGCTTACCAATTGCCGATCAATCTCGGAGAAACCCGTGGGATCAAATGCTCCACGAAATGAGATCCAGAATAAATCCCATATATGGGACTCTAGATGTTATACATTTCACAAACTATTAATTCCCCACTCCCACCAGGAAAAATTTGTACTGTTTTACCTCAATTACTTCAGGAAATCCCCATGATTTGCTTCATACTTTCCATCTTCCTTGCCTTCCACTGCATCTGCTCAGACATGACAGCTCAAGTTTCTCAAATGCATTATCAACTGCAGGTTATCTTGACAGAAGAGGTTTCCAGAGAAAGGAATCAGACACTCTATGGGATTGGAATGTTTGGGTAAGAAGGATAAATTTTACAACAGTATCCAGAAAAACTTCAGCAGATCTGGGCTGCAAGAACCTCCGTCTCTAATTTGTATCAATTCATACTCAAGCCGAAGACTTGCAAAATGACAGGCCTTTGTTATGGATGTACAAGTAAGGTTTTGATTCTAACAAAAGCTCTTTCAATTGGATGCTGCATTGTTAACTTGTTATGCATGAACCCAAAAATGGTTGGAAAAAGAAACAGAGAACGATGTTGGTGGAATTTTAATACACAAGTATAATCCTATCGGATTCAATAGGGTGATTAAGTCCATGAAACATAATGCTGTTTCTTTACATTAATGTTAAAGTTCAGTATGCAATCCATCTCTCTGCCACGATCAAGTTACAATAGTCAAAATTTCTTCAATCAAAGGTGATAGGACCTTGGCCTGAGAATTGGGTACTTGAACCAAGCAAAACCCAATAAGGGGAAAGTAAGCTCTTATATCAGGGTTTACCAGTAGTCACCGCATGAGCAGACTCCATCCTTAAAGTGATGAAATCGTTTCACGTCTCTCACCACAATCTCTCTATTCACTATTTTGGAGATAAACTTAGTTGCTTCATGGCAATCCCTGCAGACTCTGAGGTTTTTTGTGATGAGCAATCTAGTTCCTAGCCCTGTGTTCAAGAGCCCAAAAGCAATAGCAAGTCTCTCACTGTGACTACACACCATTTTTACTTTGACTTCTTCTTCAAGATTGTGCAGCACAAATTCTGTGTTAGGGATATAACCCATAGCTGTCATCTCATGCTCCAGCTTCTCCAACATTCCCGCAATCTGTTCATATTGGGGATGGCTCTTATCTTCCATAAGAAAAGCATGGAGTTTTCCATGCACTTCCACAACACTGTAACCAGGTACTTTCTTCATCCCTGTATTTTTCATGACCTTCCTCACCCCAGCAAATTCATCCCACTTCCTTGCTGCGGCGTAAAAGTTTGAAACTAGAGCATAAATTCCAGGATTATCTGGCTTCAACTCAAGAACCTTCTTTGCTGCCAACTCTCCAGTCAACAACTTACGATGTATATGGCAACCTAGAAGAAGGGCAACCCACACAGCAATCCCTGGATCGGTTGTCATTGAATCTATCAGATCACGAGCTTCTTCCACTCGTCCGGCACGAGCCAAAAGATCAACCAAACAAGCATAATGCTTCTCGCTTGGTTTAATATTGAATTCATATACCATGCGATCAAAACAGTATTTCCCTTCTTCTACTAAACCAGAATGACTACAGGCAGAGAGCAGAGAAGCAAAAGTTGCATGGTCTGGTTTTAAGTCTGTCTCTGTCATGTGGAGGAAGAGTGAGAGAGCCTCCATTCCTTGTCCATGGATACCATAGCTGGCAATCATTGTATTCCAGGAGATCAAGTCCTTAGAACTTAACAGCTCAAATACTGCACGGCCATTAGAAAGGAATCCACATTTTGAGTACATGTCAATCAATGCAGTGCCAAGAACTTGATCTAGATCAAGCCTTTTCATGATATATCCATGTATCGACCTACCCAGTTTCAAAAAACCAACTTGAGAACAGGCCAAAAGTCCACTCATCAGCGACACTAAATCCAGTTCAAACCCAAAACTCTGCATCTCTTTCAATAGTTCAAGTGCATTCCCAACAAAACCATTTTGAGCACAGCCAGAAATCAAAGCACTCCAAGAAACAGCATTCCTATGACTCATATTCCTAAACATACGAGAAGAAAGCTCCAACTGTCCATTCTTTGCATACAAGTCCACAAGGCTGGTTTGCACCACCACATCAATACGAAGATCCCTCCTAATCATATGTCCATGAACAGAAAGACCCATTTTCGTATCCCCAATATTTGCACAAGCCTGAATCAACCCCAACATCACAACCCCATCCCCTTCTATGCCCTCTTTTTGCATCTGCCTATATATCCATATCGCGTCACTCACTCGACCACTTTGTACAAACCCCGTTATCATTGTCGTCCAAGCAACAATATCCCTCCCCGGAATCTTTTCAAACACACCCATTGCTTCATCCATTTGGCCACACTTAGCATACAAATTCAAAACAGAAGACCCAACAAACATATCATGCTCATATCCACATTTCACAGCATTGGTTCGAATTTTTTCACCCATATCCAAATCTAACAAGCTTGTACACGCCTTTAGTGCCAACGTAAAAGTAGAGCTATCGGGTCTAGCTCCTTCCAAATTCATTTGCTTGTACAGTTTAATCACTTCTAGTGGGCAAACTTTACGTGAATACGCAATGATCATGGCATTATAAGCATCTACGGCTCTGTGGGGCGATTTATCGAACACTAGTCGGGCTGATTCAATGTCGCCAATTCGGATATAGGATGCTACCAATTGGCCATTGAAAGAAGTTCCACGGTCGAATGTCCCAGATGATATCATGATAGCGTGGATTTTAGCAATGGATGCCCTGTCTTTGAAGCGTAAAAGGAGAGGCTTTAGGTCTTTTGGCCACTGAAATGGCCGCATAAATCAAAAGGGACGCTGGAACTTCACTTGTTCGTCATTACAGCTTATACAAGCTGACAAGTTGGACTGTCGGAAGGGAAACAAACAATTATAGTTGTTGATNGAAATGGCCGCATAAATCAAAAGGGACGCTGGAACTTCACTTGTTCGTCATTACAGATTATACAAGCTGACAAGTTGGACTGTCGGAAGGGAAACAAGCAATTATAGTTGTTGTTNCATTACAGCTTATACAAGCTGACAAGTTGGACTGTCGGAAGGGAAACAAACAATTATAGTTGTTGATCATTAGACGGATCGGGATCCTCTGTCTGTTCACAATGATTTCGTTTTGTTGTGAAAATTAGATTCTATTGAATACTTTTTCTTTTTTCTTAGCGTTATATACGATAAGTCTTATTTGAATTTAGCGTATGTAAAAATAAATAAAAAATATATTAAAAAATATCTCTTTCTATTTTTTGATTAGGAGTGATCATCCTACCATACAAATAAAAAATATGGTCTTTCGTCCCCTTACCCGGTACTTTACGAAATAATTTTTTCTTGACTTATCTTATCTGATTAAATGTGGTATTCTTACCCGACTTTCAGCCAAATTAATCGGATAGAAAATTGGGTGAACGTTTTTATAGTTATTAATTTTTGGATTATTTTAACAATTCAATTAAATAACATGTATTANTTTTTTGATTAGGAGTGATCATCCTACCATACAAATAAAAAATATGGTCTTTCGTCTCCTTACCCGGTACTTTACGGAATAATTTTTTCTTGACTTATCTTATCTGATTGAATGTGGTATTCCTACCCGACTTAATCGGATAGAAAATTGGGTGAACGTTTTTATAGTTATTAATTTTTGGATTATTTTAACAATTTAATTAAATAACATGTATCAATTTAATAATATAATAAACCAATAACACTAAAATTAAAAACAATTACAATAAAACACAAAAAAACATCAACATCAATCCATCATAATTGTTGCACAAATACAATAACAATTATTTTAAATTTAAACCATATGACTAGAGAATTAGGGTTTTTAGTTTATATATATATATATATAAAATAATGCGGGTAGAGTAGGATAGAAATACGGAAATTAATAGTTATTCTGTATTTCTACCCGATTTAATCAGAAAATCAAAAGCACTTTTGCATTCTTACTCGATTTTTTGGCAAACCGTTCAATAGGGTCGGGTGAGATAAGAAATTACAGTTAATCAAAAATTTGAACACCCCTAATGAGATATATTTTGAGAGTGTGACGACATTAAATTCTTAATTTATTTCTGAGCAAAAACAATGCATATATTTCCATTTAAATGCAAGTCCTATTCGAGTGGCATGTTAATGGTTTGACTTGCCTATCAAAAAAACTTTAACAAGGAGGCCATAATATTCACATTATGTAAGGGAAAAAAAATCAGTTTATCAATTTGATTTGCAACAACTGTCTCTTTCTATGCGGATTCTTCTTAGATCGTGCAAGGATGTAATCATCGGATATTAGACTACCCTCTTCGAGTATGTTTGGATCGCCAGTTAAAAGAAAATAATACCAATACCATAAAAAAAAATANACCCTCTTCGAGTATGTTTGGATCGCCAGTTAAAAGAAAATAATACCAATACCATAGAAAAAATATATATATATGTAATCCATTTATCACGCATTTAGTAAGTAAAAAAGTGTATTGAAAATCCCACTCGAGTTTATCTCAATTCGATTTAAAAAGTCAACTTTAACTTGCATATATGAGTTAAATGAAACCCACGAGAACTAAGAGTCTAGGATAATTTGACCACCGATAAAATATCTCAATATAATTACTATTATACCCATTTTTCATTTATTAACACTAATATTGACTTGTCTCATTCATCAGCCACTACTACGACAACGAACGGATTCGCTGGAGAAGTTTGCTAATTCATGACGTGCCTTGTCTCCTTCTCCATTCTCCATTCTCCATTCTCCATTCTCACTAGTTGTTTTGTATTCCGTTGTCCCTCATGCACCACCATAAAGAAATTAATTTAATTTAATGTTTTGCTCTTTAATTTAATCATATTATTTTGTTCTTTAATATTATTTATTATTTTAATTTATTGTTAGGGGCAAACACCATATTAAATCACACTTCTCTATAGACCCTACAAAATTGCATATGTATTACCCAAACACCGGGGAAACATAAGATACACCTATTAAATCTTAACCGGTTAATTCATGGGTGAATTTAGATTAGATAGGAAATAATATTTTTTATGATCTCTAATTCAATCCAACTCTGTCATCCAAATACACCATTAGGAGCTGTTTGGTAAGTGGAATTGAGGGAGGCTTTGGAGGATGGGTTGGAAAACAATTATCCGAATGACACAAAATTCATATTTAGCCAAAAATTTGAAGTTTGAGTTAACAAGCCTAACCCGCTATTGGCCCAAACCTTAAACCCTAGATCATGGGTTTTATCAAACACATGGGAGGGTGGGTTTAGAATAAGGATTAATAAATTTAAGATACAAAAAGACAATTATATTCAATACGTATATAAACATGATGTTAAATTAGATTACTGAAGGGACAAAATAGCTATTTATATACAAATATATTATTATAATAATGATATATCTAGACATATCATACATATATATGAACATTAAATTAATCCTTCCCAAAAATCAATCCAAACAAAGCCCTTAAGGCTCTTATATAGGGAGTCAGAAATGTTCATGTCTTGTTGGCAATATAGTCTATGTTATGGAAGGCCCTTATGCATTTCAAGATCACTTCTCTTCATCTCTCGGATCCAAGACCTTCAGTTCAGCCTGCTTAAATCCCAGCAGAGGTTACCATCAACATCTTGGATTTATGTACTGCGATGAGAGAGTCTAGTTTCCGATTCTAATTCACTAACAAGAGCAAGTTCTTATTCCCGCGTACGAAGAAACTGTTCCATAACTCCAACATATCACACCCAAATCAAATGGCATCAAGTAAGATGTTTAGAAACATCGTCCCTTTCATCCCGCCCCTTTGTCTCCCTTCCCAATTCGTAGCTGTTAAAGTACAGAAATACTTATCCTCAAACAAACTGGAGAGTGCTCAACAGAAAGGGAAACCAAACACCACTGAAACATAGAGCTACCAGATGACTCGGATCAACATCACCACAAAAAAGCAACACATTCATTTCATTAATTTTGACCAGTGTCCCATGCTATCCATATCGGAATGGGTAGACAACAATGAGGAGGAGCTCATTGAAAGCCACTTCTACAAATACATCCAAAAAATAACAAGTTGCATGCGGGCTCATACCAGTTGTTTCGTGGGATGCTGGACCAAGTCACTGGGATCTGGGCAACCAAGCAAAGTCATGGGGTCCACTACAACATTCAGACTTTTGACTCCAATGCCAGAAGTATCTTCTTTCTTGGGCCCTGAACAACCAAGGTCAAGGGGGAAAACATAAATTCAACAAGGCAAGAGAAGTAAAACCCCTATTGACATGGATCAAGAACCTGGAGTATTTGAACAAATTTGCATCCTACCTATTGACATGGATCAAGAACCTGGAGTATTTGAACAAATTTGCATCCTAAATGACACCCAAAGATCCATAAATAAAAAGGTGCAAAGCAGCATGCTTGGTGAAGTTAGATGGTTAAAGAAAAGTCATACATTTGGACATGAACCACAGATCAATCCATGATGCTATGAGTGGTTTCTGACTCCAACTGGTTAACAGCTAGGCAGGTAACCACGAGGAAGGCGGACACATCCAATTTTTACCCATCTGATCTAATCAGATACAAATTGGGTTTCTACATTTCCTACAATTAGAAACATGTCATGACTTAAAAGAACAATGGGATGAATGGACAGTGTCACCAGTATTGCTTTCACCATGAGAAGCAATCGTGTATAATTGGAGCGCGACTAACCTAGTGTGAGCATGACTCTTTACTTTGTGCTCAAGATTTTATAACAGGTCAGAAAAGTCCACAGCTCAAATGAGAATATTGGAGGTCACATGGATATATAACACTTGACAAACGTAAAGAACTTGTGCATACCACCAAGGGAAGACAATAATGCAAGCAAACTGCCCGACATGGTTGCATCATGTAAGGATTGTCAAGGTTTAAACATTAAAGTACCATGAAGTTATATGGCTCTAGACTTGTGGACGAAGGCACCATGAACAAAAGTAAGATTAACAATTGAGTTCAAGTGGTGTTTGTGGCCGGTAAAAATGGCCCTGCATAAGAGAAATAGACACATCTCCAACCAAGTGGATGGAAGAAAGTGGACTGAAGGTCAACTGAACACCAGAGTTTAACAATCACCAACATGTTGCAATGAAAAACAGCATCACTAATATTTTACAAAAGAATTTTCCTCCTTTTGGGAGTCAGGCAAAGTGTGATTAGAAATATATATCTAACCCAAGTTCAACCAAATCTATGCAATGTATCCTGTTCGACTTCTGACGATATGCAGATTTTGAAGTGTACAAAAACATAGGATGGGTGCTTTACAAGGTGGCAGGAAAATAAATTTAGCGATGACATCTCCAATTGGCTGATGACACATCCTATTTTGCATCTACATGGAGCTAAACTTTAGCACCTTCAGTAGTTTTCTATCCAAAATATCATTTGGAAATTCATGTAGAAGCCCGAAGACTCCACAATGCAAATTCTATTAGAGGGTTGGAGGGAAGTAAAATCACATCCTTGGCCAAAGCAAATCAAGTGAGATTTTTGCCGTCAATTTAGCCACATTGCAAATATGGCCAACTTTACAAAACTGATTGGTTTTAGCATCCTATGACCCAAATTGTTCAAGGAACTTGAGATGCAACTCCCATCATGGACAAGATCATGTCTCTCTGAGGCAAAGAACAGCTCAGTCTACTTTATATACACGTATGTAGTTCCACTAACCCTGTTTGACTTAGATAAACATGAATATCTCCAGTAATCTGCATAGGGTGAATTATTCATTTAAAGGCTGAGGAGATGACGGATCACCTGTTTCATCTTCGAACAAAGGTCACTCAAGGGCCCCAGTAAGGCCAATGTCAAAGAGGCCTCCTCCCCCACCCCAAAAAAAAAAAAAACCAAAACCCCTCCCTCTCTTTCCTTTTTGGTTGGCAGATAATAAGGAGACGTGTCAGCAAAACTTATCTGAACTCTAGAGAGAGAAGTCATTTGGATCCTGTAGGATAAAAATGTATAAACTTTTGTCATGTGTACACAATTCTTAATAGGGATCATACATTTTGACACCCCTTATGATGTGTAGACTACTCTCCTCTATGGCTGTAGCAATGTTTCTAGTTTAAGAAATCTCCTTCCTGTTGAATTTCTTAGTCTTTTTAAGTATTTGTTTCATTATAAATAGATATATGAATACAAAAGTAATAAAAATAATCAAATATCTCAATTAAAGGTGACAAATTTAATATATAGAACTCCTCAATTCTTAATCAGTAAAAGCAATAGCATAAATAACGGTAAAATGGTTAAAAAGCATGCATACACATCGAAGAGTCTAGTTAGCTAACCATTGGTACTCCCATAGCCTTAAGATCATCATCAGTCATGTGGATGAGAGTGGTCATATCAACCTTGCACAAACAGCAGGTGCCAAAGGCTCATAGTAAAAATAAATTTCTCAATGTAAAGATAAAAACTGACCAAGTACATGTGGATACAAAGGAAAAAGACCACATACTTCCTCTGCTTGAAATGTGATTGAATATTTCTCCAGACCAAGGGACTGCAGGAAACCATCCACCGATTCAGCCTGCATCAAAGAAGTATCAACTCAGAATCAACAACGCCACAGCAAATTATGTGATAGTCCCCCATAATTGACATTAAATTCTTAAAGACACAGAACTACGATGTTATCAGCTAAAAGGGAAAATAGGAGATTCTTGCCTTTTGCTGAGTCTTCTTTTTAGAAACTAGGCTGGCCACTTTTTTCACTTCTGACACAAGGGCTCCAACTATGACACTATTCCTAGCAGATTTATTACCCTCGAGCACTGGTTTTGGCTTTGGAAGATCAGTGTCTCCTGGCGGTGAATACACTGTCCCAGAAAGCTTTTCACGCAGATCCCTTTTACCTCCTGAAAGAGATCCTCTCACTTTTGGAGTTGCTTGCTCCATATTCTTCTTCTGGAGCTTCAAACGAAGATCTTTAGAGCCAACTCTGCGATCTTTACATGGCAATGCATTCAATCAGAATTATATATTATATAAAAATGAAGTTACTACAGCTACGACAACATTATTAATACTCTATGGCAGCATTGTTTAATTTAATGTGATAGTATCTCAAATAATCCATACTTGAAACTTGAGGTTCATCGTACTCGTAAAGATCATGTTCCCATTTGTCGTCATCTTGCCTCTCCCTGCAGAAAATATGGCAGTTCAGTCTAAATAGCAGGTTCTAATTTATCAAACAATTTTATGCCTAAAAAATTGAGCAGAGGCCTCATGAACTAATTGAGTAAATGATATTCATCAAAGGCGCATCTACACTATATATCAAAACTAACGGGCCCATAGTTGTCCAACAGGCAACAGTTAAATCCTCGTGACCAGATGAAACCATACATCTCAAGTAAACATAACCATAATTGATCATATTAAACGATACAAATCCATTGCATATAAGACATGATATATTAAAACAGTACATCCACCGTAAAAAATGTTGGCAAGTTGCTATATCAATAACTTTCATAGAACATAAAGTTCGTAACAGTTTTTGTCTCCCCCTTTTAAATACGTGAAAGATCCATTTAGTATTAACAGAAGACAAGGTATCACTATTATACAGCTGCTTATCTTTTGTATATCTGTGGTCTCCATTAGGGATTCTCTTCGTCTTCAAACCCCTCCACAAGGACCACAATCATATAAGCATACCAGACATTGCCATCTTTTTCTGTGCTTCTTTTGCATTGCAAGAAAAAAAAATTGCTCATAAAATGAATGCACCGCGAGGCAAATCCCTCAACGCACTATTTTTGTAATATTTATTTGATCTTGACAAATCATGCCAATTATTCATTTTAGCATAATAACAGGGTCATGCGCGCCAATTGAAAGTTGCTTCTGATAAAATCAGGGATCTGCCACACCCTCAACACAAGAAGACTCCATCAATAGAATCTTGCATGAATTTTTTCCCAATAAACAATAAAACTATTCATTAGAATCTTCACATGTCACCAACCTCATGACATGAAAACCTCTGCATAAGAAGTGACAATTAATAATTATCGTCTACACATGACATAACCACAAGCATCATCACCTATCCACAGTTAGTAGTAAACCAATCCTCTTACCACAAAAATTAGGACCGCCAATAAGAAAAACTCCAATGGTCATTTTTCAACCTAAAAATAATACCATGTGTCCAACTTAAACAACTACCCTAGTCAGAGCATAGTTGTGTTAATCGTTAAGCAGCCCAAGTCAAAAACATAATTTTCTCCCCTCACATGATCAACATATCAAATCCCAAATTGCTTACAATGGAGCTCATTAACAACTGGTTCAGTAATTTTTTTTCCATAATCACAAAGAGGAGCTTAGGTTAAATTAAAAGGTATGTATTCATAAATGTTCCAAGTTTCCTTTCCAGTTTCAATTATTGAGAAATCTACCACAATAAAAAGGGCTGATCCTCTGGATTACAAATTTGAAGTTTCAATTGAAAATACGTTTCCAGGCATGAAATTTGTGGTTTGTAATTGGAATTCCACACGACCCAAATTCAAATTTAAACACTAAATTAGCAAAAGATTATTCCTTATACGACAATGAAAACAAAAAAAAAAGTTCCAAAGACAGTTGATGCAGCAAATCAAAGTTTGATAAGTGAGGGCTACGGCTCCTCTGCTGTACAAAAGAGGTTGTAATAGGTGCGACGTGGTTGTCGAATTAGCGCCTCTGCTGAACAGAGAAGATATACCATGTGTATGTGTATGTGTATGTGTATGAGGAGTGGCGGAAAACACACCTCTTTCCGGTGATAAGTCTCCGGCTACCAGAATCAACCACGGATGAGCCATTAAGACGCTCCTTTATTGACGTCTTCCTTCCAGCCTCTTCTCGATCAGCATACATCGTGATTGTTTATACACAATCGGACCGGTCGCAACAAGTATTAACAGTTAGAAACCCTAACCCTAAACCTAATTACGAATACAGATAAGCATTTTAACACTAAACCCTAAGGCAAAACCTGATTTTTGATTTGAGCACAAACAAATATTTTCTTGCATGAGAGAGAGAGAGAGAGAAGCGAAGAACTGAAACTGTTTGAGAAAGATTTAAATCCGACGAGAGGTATCAGAATGAAAGAAACCGAAGGCGGCACAATGCTTGCGTGAGTGGGCTGGCGGTTGGAGCATTTTTCTTTCGAATTCGGGTCGTTTGTTTTCGCATTTAATTTGTGAAAATTGTTTTTTTTTTAAACAAAATTTGTGAAAATTATAAAATTGGTACCTAATTTATATATTAGTTCAGATGTGTATTTTTTAAGATGTGAGATCCACTTCGACTGAATTTTTAAGACGAGAGGTCCAAATTTATTATTTTATTTTTTATTTATGATAAAAATACCCTGTTAATAATTTCTAGTTGTTTCTCCTGTCCTTTTACCTCTCCATTCTCTTAACGAGGAAGACGAACAATTCTATCATGTTAATCTTGATCTTTGTCTTCTATTCCCAAAAACAAAAGAAAAAGCAAAAAGTCTCAACTCTCTCTCTCTCTCTCTCTCTCTCTCTCTCTCTCTTTGGAGATTGATCTTCTACGATCCAGTTTTAACTTTGGTTGGCTCTCTATACCCATAACCACATACACACACATATATAGTTGTACAGAACAATCTTTGAAGGCCAATGGGCTCCACACAATCAAAGATGGAGAACGAAGGGATCGTAACGCGATTTAAAGATCAAAAGTTGTTCATGAAGGAGGCAATGACAGCTCAAAACACCTTTGAGGTGGCCCATTCACCATATGGTATGTCGTTTAAGAACACCGTCGCTGCCCTAAGTGACTATGCCTAAGGCGAGGTTCAATTCAACTTTGCCTCATCTGCACTGTTCCTATTGGAAGCTCCACCACCATTCCTCAACCCACTTACGACTCCCTCCCCCTCCCTTTCCCTCTCCCTTTCCCTCTTCCCAATTTCCCTCCTAACCCTCTCCTACGCGTCGACTCCATGCCCAAATTTACCATGCCAAAGCCCAACCAAGACAATCTGATCCTATTATTGAAGAAGAGAATGAGGATGATCTAGAAAACGACAGTATCCATAGCTTTAAAACATTGTAGTAGTAAAAGCAGTGGGGATAGGGTCAGAAGTGGAATTGCACATAAAGAGGCTGATAATTAACTAAAAGACAGCGAACTACGTGACAGAGAACTAAAATATTCAATTTTTCTTTCATCCACAATATATAACAAAATAAATTGAGTTTTTCAGTTCACTGATTAGTTGTCTAATGTACATGTTCTCTCGGCATAGTCTTTTGAATTCCTAAATATCTTTCGTTTCAAAAATCTAATCCCAAGGCCCCATTACAACCTTAGATAAAGATCTATTTGATCTCAAGAATGTATTGGTGGGTACATAACTTGTGTGAATAAAGAAGAGAATAGTGATTATTTGCTTATTGTGTGTTGATTTCCTTTCATGAGACTATATCAAATCATTTTCTTTTAGATGACGACTATTTTAATAGACTATGAGCATAATTTTGTTTTGATTTAAATTTCTTCTTCTCATATGTGATATTTGAGAGAGTAATAACTATAATTTGAGAGAATCTTTTATGAATGAATTATCTAGTGAGATTTGACATTGAGATGAATAATTTATAGTTATAGAGGTGATTACCAGACAAATTGTTGACTTGGTATAATTATTTCACAAAACACACAAGTTTCTATTGGAACATGATAAGTGCATACATTTATATATCGTAGAGTTCCATATTTTTATTGCGAATGTGCTTATAAAAAGCCTCACAGTTTAGAATTTTTATATTGTGGTCACAATTTGTGTTATAAAATTATTATTCAGATATTTGATTACAGGGTAATGCTTATAGGTATCATCTTTAGAAACCCTCATGAGATTATACTCATCCATTAGAGGAAATCTAGGGTTTAAAGGCTTGTTGTATATGCTAAATGCAGTCGTGAGTTCTACGAAAGTGGATTTGTGTTTTATTTTATTAGGTTATTTTGTTTTTGAGTCTGAAATCTGATTGACCTGATTTTTACAGGGTTGGAAAGAAGACTTCAAGGATTACAAAAATGTGTTTTACAAAAATTTTGTGAATTAACCTCTAAATATGCGGAATTCAAACTCAAAGTCTGGATAGATTTTGTACCTGCACCCCTAAGATTTTATGCACGAGATTTAACCTTAAAAGACTTCTTTTTGGAAAGGAATTTTCCTAAGTCAACCTTAAATCTCCTACTTATACCTAGAATTTATTTTAGTATAAATAAGGGCTTTCACCTATTAAGAGAGGATTATGATTATAATTATAATTATTATTCTTTTTCCATCGTTTTTTTTTTAGTTTTTGTTCTAGTTCTAGTTCTATGGCTTGTTAAAAGTTCATCTAAATTTAGAGAAGATACTTTCAATGAAGTACGCTATTATTATTGATTTAATGTTTTTAATGCATGATTTATTCTTTTAATTTAATTCTTGTCTTTTAGTAAAATTTTTGCTCTGTATAATTTCTTGATTTGTTGTGTCACGTATATCGAATGCTTAAGATTTTCTATTATTCAAATAACTAGTTATTCTATACTTTGAATTAATTATTTAGAATTTCTCATAAGATAGTTGATTAATTATTTTCAATAAAATAAAATTTACCTATTGAAAAATTTGATTTATCGTAGACCCACGGTAAATATTTGTGATTTACAAGTAAATTCTTATATTTATTTAGATAATTCATTAATTATACCTCTTGATATTTTCATATTATCACTGCTAAATATTTTGATTGGGATCACTCCTCAAATGATTCTCAATTGAGTTCAAAAATTGGATCATTAATAATTGTCGTGTGGTTTTGAAAGGGTATCCCCAATACTTTAGTGTCTTAAAACCATATTTATTGTTTTCTAATTTCAAAATTTCTTCAACAATTTTTTTAAACCAATTTTCTTTTATTTTTCTTTATGTTTTAAGTTTTTCTAATTCTTTGTGGTTTGATCTCGAACTCCCGAGAAATTTATTACTTCGCATAACCTGTAATTAAGTGATCAATTCTAAAATTGTAACATTCACTATCTTTTAGTTCAGTGTCATTGAGTTGACTGTTGTGTAATTCATTGTTGGGTAGTTCACTGTTGGGTAATTCATTGTCAATGAGGGGTAGGGGTTGTTAGGGGGCGGGAAATATGGTGAAATTTTTAAATAACCTCATTCATTAAGCGTATTTTTGTCAACTATGTATTTTATGGACCTTTCACCTTAAAAGTGTCTAGCGTGGACCTCTCGCCTTAAAAGTGCATGATTTTGTATCTATCACCTAAGTTCATTTTTTTTTATTTTATTATTATAGTCAGGAGTGTTCGGATTAGCTTATGCACGTCTTGATTAATTCATTCCCCAATATGGTCAAATACAAACCATTCACCTTGGGACTAAAAAATTCCTTAAAAGAGTTGTTAAGTTTCAAACTCATGATATCTGAATTTATAGCTTGTTCTTGGCTCCATTAGACATCCTTGTAGAGTTTCTTTCACATTGTTTTTTTCGGTCAGAACACAAGCATGCATAATTGGCACGTAAGTTATTCACTTACCCGTACTTATACACAACAAGATAGTCACAAACATTATAAACTCATAATCCACGGTTTTAAGAATTGGTGAATGAGTAAAAAAAAATTTCACCAAAAATTATGTAGTAAATGATGCAGCGCAATCTTACACAATCTTACAGTAAACTCGTAAAATATAACATTCATGTCGATTTTGTGTAAAAATTTAATAAAAAACTCGGTGTACCTAAAATAATCAATTGTGAATTCCTTTAGCTAATTTGGATATCGCCCAAGGCCAATATATATATTTTCCCCCATTGTAGGATGATGATTTAATTGAATTATGTCAAAATCTAAACTATGACGTGGCAAAAAAGTTTAAACTCCTATTCTACCCCTTGTAAACGGGGAGTTAAATGGGTTCATTCACGTCACTGTTAGAGAGAGGCTATGAAGGATGGACGAGGAGAGGAGAAAGGAGGGAGAGAGAGAGGCTGCCTCCTCAAGGCTTAGAGCCCAATGATCTATATTCATTTTTCTATGTCTTTTCTTGTGAGAATATAAGGGTATTTATAGAGGAAGGCTACACATGTGTGACCTAGGCACATACGATTCAAGCCAATAAATCGGCAACAAGCATCTCAAATATTTAATTAGGTAGTGGCCGCGGAAACCATACCGCAAGACCCTTACCTCGAGATCTCGCTGCAGGAACCTTGTCTCAGGATCCTAATTATGTTTGCTCAAAGTTTGTTCCACAATCCTATTTACCTTGACACATATATCCCAATTTTTCTTTTCCTATTCTCTCCTCGAATTATACCATTTAGCTCGGAAAATATATATATGGACGCCAAATATAGTGCGACTCTATATGGTCGGTCTTGTATGTGCTTGGCAAGGTGATATAGTGGGTCCTAAGTGATATCTTTTGTGACGCCCCAAAATTCGAGGGTCATTTCTCAACTCGTTGATCACCTATCAACCTGCGCAATACCCGTGGATACCATATAACCCGATATCATGTCGTTATTCCCCATTCACCGGGATCATAACAAAATGAAATTTGGACAGAGTCTCTTTTGCATGGGAGCACTACCCAATATATAACATGTTCATATATTAATTATACAACCATTCCAAGGTCCAAATCCCAATCTAGGACTCAAAATTTTCCCATTTACATCCTGCAAAGGAAAGAGCTCAAGATGTGAGACTCAGCAATGTCACAGTTAAAATTTCAATTTTTGGAAAGAGGCATTGGTACCTGTGATAAGTAGTACTAGTACCAGAGCCCTCTAGTTGTCATGTACCGGTACCTGCAAGAGTTGGTACCAGTACCTGAGCCCTCGACAGTGCAGTACTAGTACCTGTAAACTTAGGTACCGACACTTGAGTCCACTATCATCGGGGTACAGGTACCTATGAGCCTCGGTAATGGTATCTGAGCTCACTAGAGCTAGGTTCCTATGACATACCGGTACCTAGATCCTAGATTTCCCCAAATTTCTCAAAATCTCAACTTTTGGCCATTCAAATCATACAACACCCATTACAATGATTTTGTTTGCCAAAGAATAATGTTCAAGAATGTCCCATTAAATGCCTTCGTCAATAGTACAAGTTTTGTGTAAAATTTATACAAGG